GGGGGGGGGGGGGTTGGTGCTGGTGAACCATTTCAGACACTTTATGCAGAAAGGTCACTGCTGTTGAACCGGTCTTGGTCGTACACCTCTGCGACAACTTTGCGACCTCCGAACCAGCGGTCATTGAGGGCCTGGATGGCTTTGTTCATCTCCGAGGCCATGGAAAACTCTACAAAGATTTTGACTATGATATCTGCATCCTCCTCTTCTCCTTGCTTTTCCTGGTAGATGATGACTCTGTTGACGGAACCAAACTTCCCGCACTCTTCTGTCACCTCACCCTCCAGGTCGTCGTCAATGTCCTCTGGTCCAACCATATTTCGAAGCACCATCACCGTGGACTGGAGAGGAGAGCAAAGTGAGAATTTAATAAGTAAATAATCTTGTAAGTAAGAGCTTTCTTCACGGCAATCGCCCCGATTTTCCAAATCTCACCTCTGATTTTCTAAGCAGTTTCTGCATCACCATGTGTCTGGCACTGCTGCCTGAGATGCTCATGTGCTCTTGGTCACTCAACATCTCCTGCCCTGTACCATCCTGCAGCATCTCCTCTTTCTCTTCTTTCCTCTCCTGTTGGTTGGAGCCACCGGCTTGATTAGACAGGACTGGCGGCGATGCGAGCACAGGGTTCACGAGACCAACCTGGGGAAGCACTGGTATGGGAGGACGAACTGGAGTCACACCTTTTAGGGAAAGGCAGACATGCAGTCAGTGGCCCTCAAAACGTGCAAACAGACACACACTCAATAACCTACAGAGCAATTTTAGTACTCGTTACGGGTCAAGTCAAATTAAATACTGATCCTGTTCAAATGCTTGACAACAGGCTGAAACTTGACACCAAGTTCAGGGTAGTGGAAAGGTACATGATGGCAATATGAACACTGTTTCCCACACACAGACCAGGTATGATGAAGTTGCAACTGTGGGTGTAGCTCTGTGGATGTTCTGACGCAACACTGCCTGAACTTAGAAAATAAAACAATTTGATCACAAAAAAAGGTCATTTGGGGGGCTGTCCCAATCGGTAAGAGACTGTATTTGTGATCCATACAAATGTGGGTCCTCATTGAACAATTTGTACCCCAGAAATACACTCAGTGCTTTCAGAGACAGTTTAACAACACCTTCTTCAAAATGTCGCCCATTTACTCATGGAGCTGGATTTCATAGCTTAATGCTCCCACAAAGGAGGTTATGTTTACACTCAGTCCTCATTTTACGTCTAGATTTCCACTTTGACACTGTGGTAACATTTGGTGGACAAAGAGGTATAAAGGGTTTACAGTTGGAGCAAACTAAGAACCTAAATATACTGGTATAACTGGTCAACTCTGAATAAGGGTATAACAAAAGGATAAATGGAGAGGAAAACTGTTTTTTTATATGTTTGTTACCAGTTACCTCCCAATTAACCTAAAAAAAAAAAAAAAAAGATATTCATAGAAGTCGTATTCACAGCAAAACACAACAATCGGTAGAAAGAGTATTTGATATCTGTAAAGCTGCTTAAAACAACACAAATAAGCACAATTAAGATTTATTTAACTCCTGCTGTAATAAAAAATGAGCACTCACTCATGTCTTGGTACACACCTGTGATGACCCCTGGTGCCTGGGCAGCCATAACAGCCTGAGGTATTCCCATTTGCTGACCGAGAAGTTGGGGCGCAGCTAACGCCCCCAGGACTGATGCGCCGGCTACAGCCTCCTTAAGAGAGGGGGGCCGAAGACATTAGGTAAGGGAAACACACAGAACACAGCACAAGGCAGCACAGTCAACGATCACACAGCATGGCACAGAGTGAGCTCAACCTCAAGTGAGAATCAAGGTCACAAACGTCATTTCAGTGCAGATTTACTAACAAAATCATTAACTATTCTTAGTAAGTCAGAAATACACAGCAGTGGTATTAAGAAACTTTTCAATTGCACATTCTACAATGAACACAGCTCTCAGGTTATTAATCATTGTGACTGTTCACATTGAAAAATAGCTGTCATTGTGTTTGTGCTAACTAAGAGAGAAGACTCTTAGCTTACACACCCAATCAGTGAATGGGAGGAGCTTTTTTGACTTACGTTACAATACAATGGATACTATATGAAAGGAAATTCAATATTTCGATTCTTTTTGTGTTTCGAACACATTAAACTGGATTAAATAAAGATTATGCCCAGAATATTTCAGGGCTGTTAAATTGACACTGTGTCAGGGCAACTACTGTTTTTAGGTGATCCCTACAAAACTGGCCTTCTCCCAGTCACCTCAATAAAAATTATATGCCCATTTTATCTGTGCTTTTGGTGTCAATTATCTAGCTAGATCTCGGTTATATTTACCTGGAAGGCCATTAAATCCCTTTGGAAGGGATTCATACTTGCCTGGGCCGTTATCTTAGCGGTGGCTGCCGCTGCAGCCACAGCTGCAGCAGGCGGCAGACCACCAGGGGTCGTGGGGGTCAGTAGGGGCATGGGCGGAGTCACTGCTTTGCCCACCCGTAGGTACTGACCCCCCAGGTCAAAGAGGTTCATAGAAGACACAGCGTCCAGGGCTGACTGAGGCTTTTCATACTCTGTAAGCGAATACAATAAGCAGTTAATAGCAGAGCAATGGAAACACAAAGAGCACGAGCGAATGAGGGCCCTCGAGCTCACCGATGAAGCCAAAGCCTCTGTGTCGCCCTGTGGTGGGGTCTCTGGCTAACGTGCAAGACTTGATCCTTCCGAAGGCTTCAAACACACTCTTGATGTCGTCGTCTGACAGGTCAGGGTGGACGGACGCCACGTAGATCCGGTTAAAGGCGCGCGCCTCCTCTGCCAGCTGGTCAATGATGGGTTGCGCCTGACCGATGTTACTTGGCCGCCCAACCTATAGCACAGATCATACCAGCAGGTCTACTGAGTAAGGGTTTTGTAGTACCAACCGAGAACGCACTCCCGCAAAACTCTAAATCCCTGCAGTGCTGACTTTCGGCAGCCACCGAGTTCAGTCAAAGCCACTCTCCTCCTACAATCACGATGCTATCCTGTCAAGTACTCTAGCTATGCTCAAGGTACATGTCCATTACTACACTTTTTTAAAAAATTTGATAAAGTGGTTTTGAGATTTGAAAAAGCACTGAAAATTTGCCAATGCCATTCTGTCACTCTTATACTGGCCACCAAGTACAAAATACTCAGCTCAAATTCCATCTTTTCAAGACATGACCAGAACACTAAGCTGTGGACAATGCCTAAATCCTTTGGCGTTCACTTACACTTTTTTTACAGATTTCTCCCGTTTTAAATTACCACAAATTCAAAACTAGTCTGACTGTGAAACAAACAGCGTCTCTTAATCTAATCTCACTGCACTAACATATAGATTCTTCATGAGTTATATAGATATGAAAACAAATATATAATATAGAAAAAAAGACAAATTGCCATTCTAGTTACTTGAGTAAAAAAGCAATACTTTCCATTGATGTAGTACCAAATATGACTTAATCTACAATACAAATACAATGCCGATTTGGAAATAACTGCAATACCATCAAACAAGGAAGTTCAGCTTTACTTCAAAACACCAGATTCATGCAGCGTGACTAGCTGAGCTGGTGGCAACACCGAAAGGGGAACGCATTAAATGTCTCATACTACGGCTACGCACTGACAACCTCCTCTCTTTTGCAGAAGTACCCTAAGTAAGACGAGCATCTAAATGGGACTGGAATCTGTACTACAGATGGGGCGGCCAAGCAACACCAACCAGGCGCAGCCCATCATCAGCACATCATGGACACAGAGCGACGCCACGCGCCGTTGGGCATCCTACTGGAACTGGTCACTAAAATAGCTTTGATGACATCATGGAAGCATAACACACAACACAGGCAGACAGAACACTAAACACACAACCAATCATACACAACTCACGCACCTGGAAATTAACAGACACAGACAAGCAAAGAGAGAGAGAGATTAGTCACATATGAGTAATTTCACAATTCATTTAAGTATCACAAAAGCAGTTATCAAATGTACTCATTATTCCAAATGCCAGGAAGGAAGGAATCCGAATCCAAAACTGTTTAATGTAAAAACTACACCGAAAATACAGAGAAAAGGAGATATGTTGTTTCCTTTAATCCATGTGTTCCTAAGACCTTGAGATACCCATCTCAAGACAACCTACCTTAATGTTTCGCCCCCCCAACATGACTGAGTTCATCTGCTCCAGAGCCAGCTGAGCAGCCTCTGGCACATCGTACTCCACAAAGGCAAACCCCTGCACAATCACACAAAAAGGAAGAACAGAACACAAGCAAACATGAATAATTTAAACCAAGCTGGAACAGCAAAATTTAAACCCAACTCTTGTTAAATGATACCGACCTTGTGTTTCATTGTAACTGAATCCCAAGACATGTCAATGCTCTTGATTGGACCAAAGGGGGCAAAGGCCTGTCTGATGGTGTCCTCACCAAGCTCATAGTATATGGAGCCCACATACACCCGGCACATGATGGCTAGAGCACGTTGCCGCTGAGCTGCCACCTGCCAACCGGGGAAAACACATGATAAGCATTAGAGAGTAAAAGAAAGGAAGACAAACAGACACACACACACACACACACACACACAGACAGAGTAATAATAAATGTGTAATTTCTACTGTGCTTGCTTTCCCCAAAAATAGTTAAGAGGCCAATTCCAAGTTAGGGGTCTGGACAGGTAAACAGGGTAATAATGGGATACTGTAATTAATGGACAGAACTTTGTGAAAAAATGCTAACATGTATAACAGTTCTAAGATATTGATGTCTCCTCTTTATTTACAATATGGCCTCTATTCTGTTACTACTGAACAGACATATGGAGGAAAACACACTGAAGTGATTGACATGCACAGCCCTCACAAATATTTGGCTTCAGTAACTGACCTGTAGTCCGGGGATGCAAGTAAGGTAACAAAAGTAATCGTGGAGTTCAAACGAAATCCATACAAAGTCTTGATGAAAGCATTTCAAACTTTCTTCTCAAGTCTAAAGGGGAGCGATGGATTAACCACCAAAAGTTGCTGTGTTTTACTGATGCCTTTAAGTTAGTCTGCTTCTGCTAATTTAATTATCCTACCAACAAAATATAACATGTGCCTAATTCATGACATAATGGAAAGTTGAATTGTTCATTGACAAAAAAAAACTTGACTTTGAGATGGCCAAAAGATCCCTGTTCCAGCAGTTCTCTCATTTTGGTCCATTAAAGGGATTGCTATCCCTCTTTCGTCCCATGCCAAGATCTTTCTGCTTTTAAAATCGTGCAAATGCATATTTTTCAAAGAGAAGTGATTTTACTCACAGTTATAAACCCCTTAAAAAGCCTATTAACAGTCAAAGAGCTTCGACTACCTTCTGGTTAAAAATACTAATGCAAATTATTCCATTGCGACTCAAGAAAGCAAATTAGTGCTTCAACGATTAACGTTCATCTCACAAAAGGATTACGGACATGGTCGCAGGTACACTAGCAGTAGAAAGCCATGTATTGTTACAAAATATGCATTCTTTAGTTAGATAGAAAGGCAGGGATTGTTGCCAAAGCAACCAGTAAAAGAAGGGTAACAGTCCTTTTCCATTGGGAAATGCGCACAGAAAAAAAATTTAATAATCTATTGACCGATTGTAAAGGTGAGAGAGGATCTCCAAAGCCCATTGTCACTGCTGCCATCTGAAAGACAGTAAAGATGAAAAAAGTGCTGAAAAGTAGGTTAGATATCCCTTAGCTTTGCTTTTTCAAAATTGTCATTGCTTTGCTAGATAGACAAAAGCGGTTAGGCTAAAACTATATTCAGACACTCCCTCTAAACAACATACAGTTTGGGGAGTTGTCTCCCCTAACTAAATCACAAATTACCACACAGCAATAAACATTAACAAGTCCCCTTTAAAAGTGCAAAGCATTTAACATGACAACCAATTCTTTCATGACGATCTTCTCCATCTGAAAAAGAGCAGAGGCAAAAGCAAGGGCACACACGGTCTACACATGTGGTCTTTTTTCACAGCATGGTGGAGACGGGAGTAAGAGAGCTTTACCAAAACAGACACCCGAGTCAAGAGACGTCCGAGTTACTAATGCATGAAAAGGCTAAAATATTCTGTCTAGAATCAAGACTCACAGGCCAAACACACATTACAAACTTTGTTTGGCAGAGCACCAAAACTTTCTACACATCTCACCTGCAGGTTGGTGAGCTGTTGCTGCTGATGGGCGATGGTCTGCTTCACCAACACACTCTTAATGCTTTGTTCCATGGCATACTTCTTAGCCTGACAAAGAAGTAAAGGCATTACCTCTACATTACTCCTATGAATGGACACTCGTTATGACATTATTACAGGTACTGTATCAGTACAGTTACATGCACAAAGGAAACAACCAGAGGAATCAGATTATGCAGGAAACTGGGCGCCGTGTTTACATGGACTGTAGTAACCCACGTTTTAACACGGCAGGTCAATATTATTGAACTTATTCTGCCTGCATTCTTTGTCATGCTCATGCATACGAGTGAAACTATAATTAAACACCTTGTTACACATATAAAGGCCCAACAAAAGCTGTTTTTTCTCCAGAAGAAATTAGGTTTCTTCAATCACCTACCCCTTTTATGGGAGCCAGGTTTCTTGTATAGATGACATTTAAGGAAATCAAGTTACCACCGGTCACAAGCACATGTACACATTTACTTTAACAACTTACACCTGTAATTACACTGACAAAGAGGGTACATTGAAGCAGATACTGTATATCAGGGGGGTTTCCTACCCTCTGAAGTGCCTCCTGCTGCTCTGGGGTGAGAGGCGGAAGGCCAAGCTTGGAGCCTGTGCCCTGTCCATTCTCCATCGTCAGAGCTTCACCTCCCTGCAATTCAAAAACAGCTATTTATACAAAAATAAATCATAAAAAAAACTTCTGATAATCAAGAGTCTGGAGCATCAACACCTGCCTGTATGCACACCCATTAACTACATTTACCCAGTAAGTAATTTCCTTTGCATTGCAACCAGAAGTCACCTCATACACCCAGGTTTATCATTAAATATGAAGGCATTGTA